ATTTGGGTGGAGGTGAGAAGGACCCATAAATACGTGGGGAGCATGTCAGTCTGCGTTTCTGCACACACAGTGGGATTTACAGATAGAAAAATAAATGCACAGTATATAAAATATAGAATATATCTTTTATCTCTCTCATCTATCTATATGTATCTATAGATGAGAGCAGGTGTGCATATCAACAGGGACAATATGCAGAGCCAATGGGGTTGTACAAGGCTATTTCCAGAGGGTAAGGAGAGAGGGAGGCTGCTTGCCAGCAGGCTAGCATAGCCGAGCAGATTTGCTGTTCAGGTTCATTATTTACTGGGTCCAATTAAGAAGCCAGAGGATAGGAAATGTGGCTGAGGCAAGCAGGCCTTCAAAGCCTTCCTCCTGCACACATCAAAGCCGTCTGCCGCAGATCCCTCTGCAAAAAGGGCTCTGCCAGCTCTGAGCAGCGGCAGCTGCCTGGCTCGCGCTGCTCGGGGTCGTTCCCTGTTGGTTTGATTGTCAAGCCTCCTAGGCTCATGCTCTCTATCTCCAGCCTCCAGAGCAGAAAGCTCCTCTTTCTGATTTACAGGGACAGAGTTAAGGAGCTACAGCTTGGCAAGATGGTGTTTAATGGGGCTGTAGCAAGAAACCAAGCTAAGGATGAACGTGTGAAAGACAAAAAACCTGCAGGGAAGCAGGTTGCCTGAAGTCATGGGAGGGGATGGTTTGGGATAAGAAGAGCTGCACTGCATGAGAAGTCACCCCCTCAGGGAAACCTGAGAGGCCCCTCACTGGAAATGGGCTGTACAGAACCAGACAGAACAGGCAGGAGACAACTCTTGTCAGTGAGGAAGCTTTGGCAGTAGGGTCAGGATTTTGTCCCTTGATAACATGCTCAAGGCAAATGTCTTCTCTTAATGGGAATGGAGTGTCTCACTTGCCAGGAGCTGGCAGTCCCTCTCTTCACCTAATAGAATATGTTCTTTGTTACTGGTACCAAAGAGTATTGTCCAAGCCTTCTCCCTCCCCTCTTTGATAAACTGCATAGTGACAACTATCAGTTCCCTGCCAAGCTGGCTCCTGTGCAGAAACATTTGTAAATTCACTCGATGTATAAAGCTCTGTTCCTGCTCCCCCCCGCCCTCTGTTTGCCTTAGAGGTTAGAGTTAATATGACTCACCTAATCTGGCTGCCAAAGTGAATTAGTGAAAACATCTCTACAGCTCTCTGCAAGGTATCACAACCTGACATTTCTCTAACACACTGTGATACATCTTTCCTCTTCCTGATCTGTACTATGACACCTTGATTTTATATAAATGCTTTTTGTTAGAAATGAGTAATGTACTCTCGGAGGGGGCAAGGCAGCAAGCAAAAGGGTCTGTCTTGCAAAGTGAGAGCAGCTGAGTTCTTGTAGCAAAATGTTGATGCCCAGGGTTGAAACAGGTCACCAGTGCAAGGACAAGGACAGTGCCACCAGTATTTTAGCAAGAGACTGTCACAGAAACTTTCCCTGAAGTATTATGCTAATATCCATGTCCTGGAGCAAAGGAACAAGGAGCTGAATAGGCTTGTTGATGTCTTTAGCATGCCCTTTAAAACAGAAGTCCTGCCTTTCACTTATTTCCAGAGAACTCCACTGGGCAAACCAGCAGCTCATCATGTCTTGAGAGGTGTTTTGCATAGCTGTGAAAGTTCTCCTGCTGGCCATGGTACACAGTATGCTCTAAGTCCATGTACGTATGCAGGAGAGAAGCTGAAAAGCATCTTCTCTTGGGAAAGTGTGTACCCTTTTAGGATGCTTTGGAGCTCCATTCATGTGGTTCTCTGACAGACAGACTTAACTGCGCCCTTAATGAGGGTGCCACTCCATTAGAGCTGGTTAAGTCACCCTCAACCCTGTTTTCATTACAGTGACAGTCTTGTGACAAGGGCAAATTGCAGGAGAAGCAAGTCCCACTTGGAATGAACCCTGTGTATAAACATGGCAGAATTGCAGAGCAAATGATTTGCAAAGCAGAGGCAAATTGCGTTTTAACCTTTTCTTTCTAAGTCTTTCCCTCATGTCTGATTAACTTTCCAGTCAACTGACTGACCTACCAACTGGGAGTGCAGCTGTGAAAGGAGGGGAGTGTTGGTTGTCAGCTCAGATTGGGGGTGGGATTTTGAAAGAGCTTTATTAGCAGGTAGCAGTATGTGATAAGATCTGGGAATTAAAATCATTCCCAAACAGAAATGATTCATGCTAATAGCAAAAACACAAACAATGTATTGACTATACAGACAGCAGCATGGTGCAGAAGTTGTGATGCATTCCGTCATCTGTGTTCAGCCCTGGTAACACCTCATCTGAAATGATGTATTCAGTTTGGGGTATTGCACTTCCAGAAAAATGTGAAGTTGTCAGAGAGGTCTAAAAGCAAAGAACAAAAATGATCAAGGGTCTAAAAAAATCTCACCTACAGAGGAAGGTTGAAAGACCCTGGCAATGTTCAGCCAAAGGAAAAAAAGATGACAACTGAGGGAGGAACATAAGTGATTTAAAAGTTGATAAAAGGCTATTGCAGGGAAGGAGGGAATGATTTGTTCTTTTTGTCTGTAGCGGCTAAGACAAAAATAATAGCTTTAAATTGCAGCAAGGGAGACTCAGGTCAAACTTCAGGGAAACTGCTCTAGTACTAAGGACAGCAAAGCACAGGAACAGATTGTCTGGAGTGGCTGCACAGTCTCTGCCGCTGGAGGGCAGAGGATGGCTGTGCCCATGACACGACTCATGTGTCCTGCCTTGAGGTTGCAAAACAGGTTAGTTGGTGACTGAAGTCCCTTCCACAGTACTATGACTCATCTAACTCTGGTCCTACAGGGACTGAGATTCCCTAACATGTTCCTGATTTACAGCAATAAAAAAAATACCTCTAAAAATCCCACCCTGCTTCCTTCTCCACTTGACTCTCCACAACATCAGCCCTAGTGCACAGCAGAGGACTGAGAGCAGTGTCCTGGAGCACTAGGTGCCCAGCAGAAGCCAATTTTGCCTCCCTTGCTTGTACAACATGCTGCTGCCATGTAGGAAGGCCCTTCAGCAGGCTGCAAAAATCAAAGCAGTTTGAAGTTTTAGACACAGCAATGAGATTTCCACTCACCTGAACATCTGGTAGGAACTGGAAAAAGAGACTGCTGGTTAGCCCTGCTGAAAGAGAGGGGAAACCTTGTCTTTACATGAGTTTAATAGGTACACTGCTGTTTTCATGCTGAGTCTCCGTGACGGGGGGTAGTTTTCCCCTAGAATGATTCTGAAAATTGCCTGAGAAAAAAAAAAATAAAAAAGGCAAAAATAATTGTGTAAGGGACAGAGTTCTGAGCAGATTTTGAAGTTTCTGAAGTCCCTCTCTGATGTGGAAGGGAAATACATGCATCTGGCATTGCCAGCATGTGGCCAGCCTAGCCTGGCTAACGTACTGTAGCAATTCTGTGCCTGTGTGGTGAGATTCATTGCAGGTGGCTCCATGAGAACTTCAGCTCCAGAGACAGGGCTTACCCACTGCTTTCATGCAGTGCCATAAGCCAAGGGAAACAGCCCCATCCTTGCAGGCACTATTTGAACTTCATCAAACAACTGTAAGCACTTATGTGAAGTGTGCAGGGTTTCAGAAGTGCTCAGCACCTGTTGAGCAGAAAATGTCTTCTGGGCAGAGAGTTGCTTTGGAAAATCTGGAATTTTTTTTTTAAATCTTGCTTTTACCCTTTGAGGGTTAGAGATGCTTTCTCTAAACATACACAAGCACACAACTGGGGCTTATGGTTTCCCATGCTGCAGAGCAGTGCTCACAGCCCTCTCAGAGGAGGGAGTGTAGTTCAGATTCTTTTCAGGAGGACCCTTACTTTGCTTTCTGAAGGAATAGAGTAGATACACCAATGCTAATATTTCATGCTTCCTTGGCAACTTTCATCCAATGAATCCAATGTGTTTTACATGGGTTAACCTCACCAGCCTTCTCTGACCAGGAGGTGATGGGAGTAGGGGGGCTATTTGCTGAGGTTCACAAAGGGAGAGTGAAAGAGTGACTCACCCAAGGTCATACAGTGAATTAAAAGCAAGACCTCCCCCGATTCCTGCCCCCTCTGTAACCCTGACTGACACTGTTTTCAGAAGTGTGTTAGCGAGGCAGCACGGTTTAGATATGTTATTTCATACGTACAGTAGATCAGGGATGTGTAATGATTATTGGTCTCTGCGGATCAAATTACACTTCGTTTCTCTCAGTTTGGCCATGTTTAACGGTAGCGTGATCTGATCAATGGCACTTCAGGGTGGTGGTTGCTCTGAGAGACAGAAAGACATTTTTCACAGCTTTGCTGTGGAAAAAAGGGTGCTGACAACACAGCACCACATCTGACGACCCAGCTAGCCCTGAACCATCACAACAGCCACAGCCTGACTAACCTCTCCTAGTACTCAGCCATCACACTAGCGAACTGATCTGATCTGATGTGATGGAGATTTTGCTTCTTGGCCTGGGCAGCCTGTGAGATGCAATGTATTGGTAACCGTTTGTATGCTTCCTTCCCAATTTTCTGTTTTCCATAACTAAAGAAAATGCTAGTATCTTGCTGATATGGCTTCTGAAATAACTATTAAATTGCTCATGACTGTTGCTTATTTGCAGAATTTCTGTTGCGGTTGTTTCTCCAATTAAGCAGAAGGCTTCCCAAATCTGAAAGCCTAACAGAACCACCCTCTGTATTTTTCTGTCCTAACCAGGCAGAGAGTTTGAAGGTGAGGAGGAGTATCTGGAGATCCTAGGGATCACACGAGAGCAGTCGGGCAAGTATGAATGCAAAGCTGCCAACGAGGTTGCCTCAGCAGACGTCAAGCAAGTCCGGGTCACTGTGAACTGTGAGTACATCACAGCTGGAATGGGTCAACAGGGAGAGCTTTGCCCGTGGGCCGAGGTTACTTCAGGTTAAATAGAGAAGAGTGTCTGGGTTTATATTATACAGCCTGAAAGGGGGGGCACTCAGAAAACTATCTGCAATCAGACACTTATCACAGGGTATAGTTTATGGAAGATATAAGAAAAGGGGAGAGAGAGAGACAGGGACAGAGAGACACACAAAGAAAGAGAGAGAGAGAGAGAGAGGAGCTGTGAGTTGCCCCTGTCTCTCCCCTCAGAAACAGTGGCGATGCCTTCGTTTTTCTCATTGATATTCGGGTGAACAGTAGCGTGAAGAGAAGCTTCAGCAAGGCAGCAAGGAGAGATAAGAGAGGGTTCAGCTGGCTCAGAGCGAATACACGCCTGCCTGCACCCAACCATCTCAGCACTGCCTACATGGGTATTGCAGCTCAGGGGACACGTGGTGATGAGAGGGTGCAAAAACGTAACTTTTATGCTGGTTTCTGGTCATTAGCATAAAGCTGTGTCTAAGACACCCTCTGTGCACCAATGCAATACATAAAGGGGCTTGACCAAAGGATATGGCAATCCACCTAAAGTCACCAAGAGGCATGTGGCTTAGATTCATACTTGTATGAGTGGGGCATGGATCCCATTGTCCATACATGCTTAGACAGATGTCCACTCTACTGGCATGCTCCTCTCACAGTGACACAAGTTATTTCAGACTGATGTCACTTTTTTAATCCTACATTTGTGTATGTCCACCTCCATACTTATATGGCTTATATTTGGCACTGGAGTGATTTAAAGTGAATACCCCCATCAACCTGCTCTGCTTCCTTGCTTGGAGGCTAATAACTTTTCAGCAGAGATGGATGAATGGGAGGTGTATCCTCTCCTGACCTTCAGTTTATCCACTGGAATAGTAACTTAAATTGTACCACTGGAGGTGGTTACAGATATTTTTCAGGGTGCATATTCATGGCCTTGATTCACAGTTAGAACTGTTGGGGAGCAGGTTAGGGCAGAGAGCTGATGGCAGCAAGTGTTTCAGCCCATCCCAATCTAATTTGGCACTGCAGGTGATTTTAGCACCTTTTAATACCATTCTTGCTCTTTGTCTTTTTCTTTCGCATTGGGGCATTACATCAACATTTCTATCTTACTTAGAAGTCAATGTAGTAGGCTCCTTGCAAGATTGTCAGAATCCACAGAATTTTTTGTCATTCCCTTAGAAATTGGGTGGCAGTGGTTTAATACCAGCTGCTTCATTGGCCAAGTTCGGCATGAATATGAACTGTAGTAGCAGATTTTCTGAACTAAAAGTGTTGAGGGTTTTTTTTTCCTGTCAAAACCAGCTGAGTTTATACACCCAAGACATTCCATGAGAATCAATTAATATTTTCAAATGTTTCTGTGAAACATAATTTCAATGATGGTTTTAATGTAGTTGAAGCAGATTGTTTGTATAAAGTCAGAATGTTTGATTTTGACTTTGTTTCAACACATAATAACTATGCCACAGTAAGATCTTAAACATTTTAACTGTTGAAATATATAAAAATATAATGTGATAGAGTATTGTAATATTAATATGTGAAGTAATTTGTAATGTAAGCAAGTTACAAATTCCTTCAGAATAGATCTTTTCTTTTGAAAGAAAGAGAAATAAATCTAAGAGATCATGAGAACCATGCAGGAAAAAAATCTGTCCTGTTTGAGGAATGAAAGCTAGACATCTGCATACATCTTTCCTCATCTTGCTTCCTTAAACAATACCACAAGCAGCAGAAAGTGGGAAGACTATAGTAAGTTTAAAAAACGGGACCTGACTAACCTCAGGAGCTTCCTGGCCATCTTTTATCATCTGCTGTGGAGCACGTAGCTTGTCAGCCCGGACTGCAGGAGAGAGAATCTCACTTTGCTTTGGTCTCACACTACCACCTTCAGGCTTCCAGAGTAATGGCCCTTCCATATCACAGACAGGGAAACTGAGGCCTGGGAAAG